TCCTCCAGAGTATTATTATTATTATTAATGACATCCTTCAGTATGTTACAAAAATATTTATTATTATTATTATTATTATTATTATTAATGACATCCTCCAGTGTTAAAAAACATGTATTATTATTATTAATGACATCCTTCAGTATGTTACAAAAATATTTATTATTATTATTATTATTATTATTAATGACATCCTCCAGGATGTTAGGGGGGGGAATTATTAGTATTATTATTATTATCGTTATTATTAATGACATCCTTCAGTATGTTACAAAAATATTTATTATTATTATTATTATTATTATTATTATTACATCCTCCAGAATGTTAGAAAAACATTTATTATTATTATTATTGTTGTTGTTGTTGTTGTTGTTAATAACATCCTCCAGAATGTTAGAAAAATATTTATTATTATTATTATTATAATTAATGACATCCTCCAGAATGTTACAAAAACATTATTATTATTATTATTATTATTATTATTATTATTATTATTATTAATGACATCCTCCAGAATGTTACAAAAACATTTATTATTATTATTATTATTATTATTATTGTTGTTGTTGTTAATGACATCCTCCAGTATGTTACACAAAAACAATTATTATAATTATTATTATTATTATTATTGACATCCTTCAGGGAGTGAGATCATTACAGCACAAACATTATTATCAATGCATTTGATGAATTCTGTGAAGTTTGTTTGCAATATTGTTGTTTTGTGTCACTAAACCATTCATCTTGTTTGAAGAAATAAGTACATTTCAAAAGATGCTTAAAATATGAAAACAAAGTGCTATCAATAATAATCAGGTTATAATTAATCAAATTAGAGCATCTGAGCAGATCCCTGATCGTCTAATGTACCGTTTTCTATAAACACTTCCATAAATTACAATATTAATTTTCCAAAGGTCCAGGTAGAAGTGCAGAAACCCGGCTAATAAACAGTAAAGGAGTGTCGTGTGATCTTACCGAAACATTGGCGAGGCACAGCTCACAGGAAGTCTGAGTGTTGCATGCTGGGACGACAGAGAAGAATAAAAACACTTTCACTCTGAAAATAAAGAGCTGCATTTTTCCAAAGATTGGTCTGGATGATCAGACGGTTCATAAAGTATAACATAACTTTATTTACATTTAGTGCTACCATAAATATATCACATCACATCCTGGATTAACATCATAAATGGCATAACAGAGTAATACAAAAACATTTTTCATTGAGATATTTAAAAAAGTCCTTTCAGTGTTTTTATATAACTGACTAACACTAATGACATTAAAATTAGTGACAGTTCTATATTAAACACATTCAATACATTAGCAAAGTATAACTTATAGAAAAATACTTAACGTTATACTATAATAATAATAATTTATGAAAATATATTTGCATACATATTTAAATTACAAGCATTTTTAGACTTTAAAATAGAGATACAGAAGACACAGGCAAATAATCACATACGTTTGTGGACAGCTGGATGAGTTGTAGGTGTGATTGTTGTTGGTTTTGTTGCTTCAGTAAGACTGAATGCGACACACATCAGCAGGAAGCCCCACATCGACACAAACACTCGCGATTTATCCATATCGGAGAGGATTTGAAGCTCTGTGCGGCAGACGAATGTTGAGTTTGTGTCTGAGCTCTAAAATCTTGATTTCGACTACACAAAAATCTCCTAAACTCTCCTCAACACGCAGCCGAAACCATCGAGTGATCGAAAACACGGAAGCGCAACGACGCAGCTGACGCGCGTGCTGCTGCTGCTGCTGCTTTCAAAATAAAAGTCCTCTAAGAGCGCCGTGAACGAAAGCGTAATAAGACGCTTAAAAATCATAAAAGTACAAGCGCCAAACTATGGAGACCCAGTCCGCCACGTCAAAAAAAAAAAAAAAATTTATATTCATGCTTTGATAAGTCAGACTTTATAAGTCATAATTATGAGATGAAAAGTCGAAATTATAACATGAAAAATCAAAACTATAAGGTAAAAAGTCGGAATTATAACATAAAAAATTCATAACTATGAGATAAAAAGTTGAAATTATTAGATGAAAGGCCAAAAATCTCTATTATCATAATTTTTTATTCAAATATTATGACTTTTTAATTCATAATTTAGACTTTTATTTTAAAATGCCGAGTTTCTAAGCCATAATTCTGATGTTTTATCTCATAATTATGAATTAGTATGTCAGTTTCGACCTTATAAGTCATAATTTCAACTTGGTAGGCCTATGTCAAGTCATCATTTCTCATTAGTCATAATTATGACTTACCAAAGCAATTTTTTTTCTTCTTACATGGTGCAAATGGGCTTCCATACCAAAGAGACCGAAAATTTAAAGTCCCCATGAAATCAAAATTAAAGTTTTTTAGGTGTTAGTATCGATATGTTAGTCTTAAGGTTATCTATAAGGCAGTGTGCTCCAAAACAGTGACAAAATTCGCATTTAGAAGATATAAGCATTCAAAGCTTGCAGTTCGTCACTTCCGCCAAAACGGCTCAACGATTTTTTTGACGTCACATCGTACTTCAGCTTCTCATGGCACGTAGTGCACTAGCGGGGCTGCTTGATATGTCCCGCCCTGTCTTCCGGTTTCAGTTACAATGACGTCAACACAGAGTAACGCTGCGTGTTTTTAAGCATTTCAGGGGACCTTTAAGTCATTAATCAGAAAAATAATCATGGTGCTAAAACAGTATTCACCATATTTTGTTTTGTTTTTGGTCCAAATTCATAAGATGATCTAGCTCAGCTCCTCTCAGCCTGGTGTTTCTGAGCTTTTGTGGTTTTTAAAGGGGTCATATGATGCTGCTAACAAGAACATTATTTTGTGTATTTGGTGTAATGAAATGAAAATTTTTATGGGGAGCAATTCAGTGTTCATTGCTCTCTCGTTTCTGAAGGATAAGAATCACGAGTCGTGTTTCTCTGTAGCTCAAGACTCTCGACGTCACTTGAGAGTCGTTGTAGGATTTATTCATGAATTCTTGCACCTGGTCCTCCTGGAAAGATGAGAACGATGCAACTTCTTTAAAGAAACCCTCCAGGTGTGTTTCGAGCTCAAACTAGCACACTAGATAATGCAAAAAGGAGAATGAGATTAAACTGCTTCTTACTGACCTAAGAAAACACAAAACATGCACTACAGATTTATGGCAAATTTAATTGCCATTTGGTAATTACTTATAGATATAATTTTATAGATTGCACTTTTATGGAAATATTTGCAGTTGGTTTGTATAACGTGTCATTATGAGCTGAGTTTTTGTTGTACTTAAACGTTTCGAGCGATTCGAATCAATGAGTCATTTTGCGAAGCAATTGATTCAGACTTTGGTAAACTTTAGTTTCACCCACCATCACCAATCAGAATTATTATATTGAGTAATATTGTTTTTAGCATGAGAAAAGAGTAGTATTTATTGGAAAAGTTGCATTCGCAGGCATTGAGAATGCGCGTCAAATAAACATGCTTCAAATAATTTCTATTGTTATTCCACTGCACAGGAAAGACATGACCAGTAGGGCACAGTCATATTTCATTTTTGAATAAACAAATAAAATAAAACCTTTTTGAAGCTTTTACAGTAATCAATTGAACCAATTGCGTTGAAATTTCAGTTGCATTGCAATTTCAAAACATCATGTGAAATCGCGTGATTTTCGTGGTTTGATATGCGTCGAAACATTTGTCCGAAACAATTGATATGCAAAGGTTTCGAAGCTTCACCAAGCAGTGGTTCATTCTGTATATAGTAGGCGAAAAACATTAAGTGAGGCAAATAGTAGTGTGTCCAAATTCATAGTATTCGAAAAAAAGTAGGTGAAAAGTACCCGGATGCTAAATAGCTTATGACGTCATCTAGCGAATTTTCAAGTGGGATTTAGCTACTTTCCATTTAAATTTTCTAATAAACACTGCTCTTTTCTCATGCTAAAAACTAATTTTACTTCAACGTAATAATTCCGATTGGTGATGGTGGCCGAAATGAGGTTGTGATGGATAGAATTAACAAATAAAATTAAAATTTTTTTGAAGCTTTTACAGTAATCAATTGAACCAACTGCGTTGAAATTTCAGTTGCATCGCAATTTCAAAACATCATGTGAAATCGCGTGATTTTCGTGGTTTGATATGCGTCGAAACATTTGTCCGAAACAATTGATATGCAAAGGTTTCGAAGCTTCACCAAGCAGTGGTTCATTCCGTTGCGTCGCTTCACTGTATATAGTAGGCGAAAAACAGTAAGTGAGGCGAGTAGTATGTCCGAATTCATAGTATTCGAAAAAAAGTAGGCGAAAAGTACCCGGATGCTAAATAGCTTATGACGTCATCCAGCGAATTTTCAAGTGGGATTTAGCTACTTTCCATTGAAAAACTAATTTTACTTCAACGTAATAATTCCGATTGGTGATGGTGGCCGAAATGAGGTTGCGATGGATAGAATTAGCGACAGTTTTTACAATGGCACGTAATTTTCACAACTCACAATTTTCAAAACTGACTACTTCAGTTCTTCAAAGCCTCGTTTTCAATCCTTCAATCCAGAAATTAAACACGGCGCGGATAAGATCTATGGAGAAAGATGGTTTTGTGCACAGAATGGCGTAGGATAGTGTCAACCAAGACATCGTTAAATATCGCTGTGCCCTAGTAAAATATTGATAAATCGGTAACACTTTACAGTAAGGTTCATTAACGAATCTTATTGTAAAGTGTTACCGATAAATCTTTACATGTGAATGAATACACCGACCTGAGAATCATTTTAACTGCTAATATTTCAGCTTAATTCATATGTGTTTTCTATCGGTTTAGAATAAAAACAATCCCAGATTTGCGGATGAATCTGTTTTTTGATAATCGGTCAAACGATTCAGTTCGATTCATTCGAACAGTTCACTCGCGCACTGAATCGTTTGGATATTTTATAAGAACACATTTTAAAACAAACAGAGCGCTGGATTAGGTGGATATTTACCTACAATCAGTTTGTAGAAAATAAAACTTGTAAACGTCTTCTATCGGTTGACGAAGCAGCTCTTTATTGCGCGTGCAGCTTGTGAACGATTCTGTGCTGCAGATAAGAATTATTATATCCTTTTTTACCCAAAACGCTTCATCTGGAAAGCATCTGCTGTGTGCAAACATCTGATAGACATCTGTAAGATGTCAGTTTTACATGCATTCTAGATGCATCTTAAAGACATCTTCTAAACGTCTATTTGACATCTGATAGGAAACGTCCTATAGACGTATTGCAGATGAGCAAACACTCTGAAAAATACGTCTAGCAGATGTAATGCAGACGTCAAAGTTGTGCTGACAGGGTTGCAATTGACTCAGTTGAGGACGAGTGTGTTGTGTTGACACTGAAAAGTTTGTGCAAAGAAATGAAAAGTGTGCGAACGCAACAAGAAAATGTCAGAAATGGTGATTCTAAGCACGTTAGAGGCACTGGTGAACTGATTCGGTCCCCGTCTGAATTAAATTGGGAAATACAGTGAATGTTGACAACAAAATAAAACATGAGGAGGAAGCTTTAGGAGAGGAAACGGGTAAAAATGTGAGCATGAGTCAGACGAGCACATGGTGAACTTTACATTGCATCGAAGATGCTGAGCTAAATAAATTATAGATAAATAATGCATTCTTGATAAATATGACATATTAAAAACAACTTTAGAGGCTTTCTTATTTAAAAAATGTTAGTTTAGTTTAGTCAAAAGGTTTGAGGTTTTTTTGTGCATGGTGACTAAAAGCAGCTTCTCTGTAACTCTACTTTATCTGCCATAACTCTTTTCCATACTGCATGCATTACTATAGTGAAGAACAACAAAATTTCAAAAATTTTAAGTCAAATGAAAATGAAAATGGAACATTTAAGAAATAAAAACTTATTGAAAATATTATTAAAAACTATATAGACATTTAAAAAAACTAATAAAAATTGCAAAAACTAAATTTCTACAACTTTAAAATTAAAACAAAAAAATATATAAAAATAATAACTAATTCAAAATATAAAAAATAGACATTTAAAAAATAATAAAAATAACAAAATCACAAAAAAATTCTAAAACTTTAAAATTTAAATTAAAACAGCAAATGTAAAAATAAAAAAAGAATTCACAATATTAATAAAATATAATACATATTATAAAAAATTTATATTAAACAACTTTAAAATGAAAACTAAAAAATATATAAAAATAAAATCTAATTCAAAATATTAAAAAATAGACATTTAAAAAAATAATAAAATTAACAAAAACACAAAAAATTCTAAAAATTTAAAAATTTAAATTAAAACAGCAAATATATATATATATATATATTAAAAAAAAATCACAATATTAATAAAAATATAAACATATTATAAATGCATGCATTACTATAGTGAAGATGTTGGAGCAGGAACGTCATGGAACAGCAGATCAGTGTTGTGAAACATGCCAGACCTTCACTTCTGACTTCCTGAAACACTGAAAAAGAGCAGAAAGTCCCCCGGCGGCGTCTGTGTTTGACCGGCGCTCATGGCTCTGGACGCTCTGATCCGGATCTTTGCCATCATGTCAGGTGAGTGATATTTACTCTGTCTGCTCAGTACATTTGTTACATTAAATCAGCGTATGATCAGAATCATGATGCGTGATCATTTTTCTCTGAACATCATCTCAGCACTAACCCATCTGATTAACATGCTCTGTGGTCTCACATCATTAAATGCATCTGAACACATGTGTAATATGTGTAATATGTGCAGTAAATGCATGTGGAGTAAAGGTGCATGTGCTCATTCAGACTCAGACGCTCAGATGCGTAACTTCCCTGTTTCTATATTTTGATCCTGTTGTGAAATAATCTGTCCTGTGCTGATCTGATCTGAAGACACATTTGATGACAAGGACCATAAAAGGACAATGTTTTACAGTCTTTTCAGTCATTAGAGTTGGACATTTTAATGAGCAGCTGTTGGCGATGAGATGTGAAATATTATCAGAATTAATTTTGCTCTGCTAATGTTAAAGTTTTGTGTATTTAATTTGTTTTTAGAGCATTATTGGTAAGGTCTCATTAGTTAACGTTAGTTAATGCATTAATTAACAATGAGTGATTTAATAACATTAGATAAGCAATTTGTTAAGGTTAATAAAAAATAACAGTTCATTGTTCATGTTAGCTCAGGTCCATTAAATAATATTAACGGATACAACATTTCCTTTCAATAATGTATTAGTAAATTTTTTTATAATTAACAAATGTTGAAAAAGTATTTTTCGTTGTTAGTTCATGTTAATTTTAACTAAATGTATAATGAAAACGGAAAATATATTAAAACTAATTAATAATATTAATAAATACTATATAGACATATTTTAAAATGACTAATAAAATTTACAAAAACATTAAAAGAAAACTACAAAAACTTTAACTGAAATTAAAATGAAAAGGGAAAATCTTAATAAAAATTAATAATATTAACAGATACAACTTTTGATTTTAATAATGTATTAGTGAATGTTGGAAATAAATGTAATTAAGATTAATAAATGCTTTAGAAGTAACACTGAAAATATATTTAAAAATAAATCAAAATATATAGACATTTGAAAACTAATAAAAGTGACAAAAACATACAAAATTACTAAAAAGTTATTAAAATGAAATTAAAACTTAAATTTCATTCTTAGTTCATGTTGACAAAATTTAAAATAAAAAATGAAAATATATAGTATTTTTTAAAAATTCCAATTTCAAAATATTACATAGATATATTTAAAAGCAACTACAAATGACAAAAACACAAAATACTACATTTTAACTGAAACGAAAATGAAAATGGAAAATATAAAAATTAATAATATTAACAGATACAACTTTTGATTTTAGTAAAGTTTTAGTAAATGTTGGAATTAACATTAGCTCAGATTAATAAATGCTTTAGAAGTATTTTTCATTTAGTTCTTGTTAACTTTAAATTTAAAGTGAAACCAGAAACTATATAAAAACTAAAAAAATCTAATAAAAATGATGAAACAATTTTTTTTAATACTTTAATGGAAATTAAAAAGAAAATGGAAAATATATAATAATAAAAACCATTTAATAATATTAACAGATGCAACTTTTAATTTTAATGTATCAGTAATGTTGGTTTAATAAAAAAGTAAAGTTTAATAAATGCTTTAGAAGTATTTCCATTGTTCATTCATGTTAACTTTAAATTTAAAATGAAAAGTTACTAGCATGTTGTTAACATGATTAACAAGTTACTAGCATGTTGCTATGATGCATGATTAACATGTTACTAGCATGATGCTAGCATGTTTCTAGCATATTTAGCAAGTTGCTAGCATGTTTTTTAGCATGATTAGCAAGTTACTAGCATTTTGTTAGCATTATAAGCAAGTTACTAGCATGTTGTTAACTGATTAGCAAGTTAATAACATGTTGCTAGCATGATTCTAGCATGATTTGCATGCTACTAGCGTGATTCTAGCATGATTAGCATGATGCTGCCATGTTTCTAACATGTTTATCAAGTTACTAGCATTTTGTTAGCATGCTTAGCAAGTTGCTAGCATGTTTCTAACATGATTACCATGTTACTAGCATGGTGTTAGCATGAATAGCAAATTTACTTGCATGTTGCTAGCATCATTCTAGCATGTTTAGCAAGTTGCTAGCATGTTTCTAGCATGATTAGCAAGTTACTAACATTTTGTTAGCATGTTTCTAGCATGATTAGCAAGTTACTAGGAATTTGGTTAGCATTTTTCTTGCATGATTAGCAAGTTACTAGCATGTTGTTAGCATGATTAGCAAGTTACTAGCATTTTGTTAGCATGTTTCTAGCATGATTAGCAAGTTACTAGCATTTTGTTAGCATGTTTCTAGCATGATTAGCAAGTTACTAGCATTTTGTTAGCATGTTTCTAGCATGATTAGCAAGTTACTAGCATTTTGTTAGCATGTTTCTATCATGATTAGCAAGTTACTAGCATGATGTTAGCATGATTAGCAAGTTACTATCATTTGGTTAGCATGTTTCTAGCATGATTAGCAAGTTACTAGCATTTTG